GCACCTGATGCATTTCCCTGTTTCTCTCTGGCAGAAGCTGTCTAAGTCAGGCACTCCCAGCTGTGGGAGATACATGTGGGTACAAAGAGCACGTAAACATCCACCTCCATGGAGATAAAGGGCTCACTCCTCAACTGCCTTCCCCTCGACCACAATTATCTAACAGAAGTTGTAGGGATGGATTATTAAAATCTCTGGCTTTGAACAGAAACATCCATCTAACAATAATGATGTCTTTAGGCAAATCTCCTCCATTCCTCAGGATTGCTAGGACACACACACAGGAAGGAGCTGTGGAGCTGTACAAACTCAGAGTCATGAAAGATCAAAGTAGCACTAGAGACTAGAAAGAGCACACTTTTAATTTTAGAAAAATAGCCTAGCTATGATTGCAAGCCATGAGAGGGGAAGGAACATCTTTAGCAGCATAACTCGAGAAGTGTGGCACACCAAGAAAAACGAAGCATCAGCAGCTGGCACTACTGCTCTGATAAGGGGCCAGAGGATTGCAGGCAGATGCATTTTATTGTCAAACAGATTATAATGAAGTGTCTCAATTTAAGAATGTCAACAATATTCTACTTTGATCAAGAATATTTCATCATTCCTGGATCAAAGGGGTTTTTGTCTGACCTTTTTATTCCCTTTCCTTTTAGAGACATAAACCATCAGATTTAAAGGTATATGAACTTTGACTCTCTGCTCTGACTAGGAACTAAAAAACCTAATGGTGAAAGTTGTCCTCCTGAGCACAGGGATGAACCTGGTGGGATGCAGAGGCTGCTCCCAGCTGGTGTTAGTCTTTGATTCTGTGAAAGTAAATGTCAAAGTAAATACTGAGATGCAGCTCTGAGTGAAAATTCCAATTTCTGCTCATCTCTCCTGCTGATGTCTGGGAGGCAGAAGGTAAAAGTGCATTAATGTCTCTTGTCTTTTTCAGATACCCACTTGCTAGATGACATTTACTTCAGAGTTTGGGTATTAAACAAGGAATTCTGAGCCTGTTCTGCTTTCAAATGTGCACCAACTGCCAGAACAGAAAAAGGAGAACTGAGTGAAAGGAAACATTTGCAATATGTCTTTGGAAAGACAAGTGTTCAGGTGGCGAGCTGCTCTCAGTTTTCAAGAGTTACTTGTCAAAGATGCAAGTTCCTGCATGCTCAGCTCTGGGCTTTTTTAACCTATCCATTAGAGTGATGAATTTTTAGATAACTACATGACATTTGCTGTGTTCATCCTGGTCATTCTGCCTGGGTGTTCCAGCCCTCCTCTCAGCCTGCCCCAGGATGTGCTGCCCCTGTGGCCAGGCCAGCTCTGCCGTGTTTGTCACAGCAACCTGCACAATGAGCATCACTCCCAGTGCCTTCCAAACACTGCTGCAGCCATCCCTGCCACTGGAAAAGTTTAGAAACAACAAGCAAGTGAAGTTAAGAGAGCATTTTGCCTATCTTAGATATAAATATGATTTTTATCTGCAAAACTTACATTGCCTGATCAGGTTATCCACTCAGGGGAGTTAGGCAGAGTCTGACCAGCAGATCCTGAAGGTTGGATAGTCCCTGGAATTCCCTATGGAACTGTCACATATTCACCCAGTGCCTTAGAGCAAGTCTGTTATCAGGCAGGTAAAGAAGTTCTTGAATACAAACATTTCCTGAACTTCCTAAGTTTATAGGGAAAAATATTTGTGGGACCCTGCAGCAAAGGTTGTTTTGGCTCTGGCTGGAGAGTAAGATTCCAAAGGAATGAAAAGCATATTGCAGTTGAGGGCTTTTTTACAGATAAAATATTGCTTGACAAAGTATAAACTATTGCTTTATTTATCAGAGTAAGCTAATTCAAAGTCAAGAGAAAATGAAACTGGAATATTTTAACTTCACTGTTTTTTCACAGCTACCTGCCCACTGTTTTAAACAATAAAGGCCATAGTTAGTCCATTACTGATAAACACAAAACATTCTTAATAGACAATATGATCCTGCTTCATACATCCTCATTACTTGGCAAGCAAACAAACAAATGCAGTGGGTTTTATCACAGCACTCACACTTGATCAAGAGCACAATAATCTCATTCAAATCAACACCATAACTAGAAAGCAATTGCTGTATAATCAGACATCAAACAGACAAAATCACCCTGGGTGTTTCTAACAAAATCACTTGGTGTCAGTTTAACTCCACTCCCTTTGGATGCTTTATTCACAAAGTGACAGTACTGAGACTTCCTGATGCCCCTTCCTAATTCCTTCCCCACAGCAAGAGGGGAGATGCAGAAATCAGCATCAGAGAGCTCTGTCCCAGGAAATAGCATCAGTGCACGGGATCACAGACCACAGCACATCCCTGAAGTCTGCTCCAATACCAAATTCAGGCAAACCCCATTCCCAGTCTTTACTTCTGGACCCCAAATTTAGTGACTGGCAGACAGCAGCACCAGGCTGAAGGGCAGAAAACAGGGAGTAATTACAGGAAAAAATATCCAAGCCTTTTCCCAGCTGGATGAGGGATATTCTCCTGCATTCCCAGTATGGAAGCTCAGGCTTCAACACTGTGCCCTCGGTGCAGGAAAGTGTTTTTATACACATGGCATGAAAAAGCTTTCCCACTCCCAACCTGGAAGTTCTTTCCTCAGTTTCCATCAGGCTGCTCTGAAAGGCAGGAATCCCTGGCAGTGCCAGTAGGAGCTCCAGTTGATTGTCACACACAAAGGGACAGCTCTGTGTGGAAATCCTTTTGTACTGTGCATCAAATAGTCGTGTAATAATTGTATCGCTTTCTCTGAAGAGCCTCAAAGCAAACGATTTCAAAGGCAGGAAGAAGCGAATACCTGGAGCTGTCTAATTATAGACTCTGAGATATGCACAGCAAAGTATTAAAATAAATGATATAGATGGATTATCAGAGAAGAGAGTGGGGCTGATAAGACATATTTAGTATACTAATCCTGGCTGTTTGTTTTGCATTCTTTGAGCCTTTTAAGATGACAGGTTCTGATCAACTGCTTCCCTTAGAGGTTGGCAGCTTTCCTGCTCTAGCAGTTAATTTCTGTTTGATGTTCTCAACTTTGTGTCAATGTACAAACTACTGTTAAGATATATAGCAGCGATTAAAATAATTCATCCATCTGGTTATAATTAAAGACCTAGTTAAACGTAATGACAACTTGATGTAGCAAAGCCAGCTCTCATCTTTTAAAAGGGCTGTGTACATTCAGAAACTAATGCTGTAAATGGGTGACAGACTACTGCAATGTGGTCATTAAATTCAGGGGAATTAATTAAACTTGTTTCATAAAAAAGCCTTAATGACATTTACTGGCAAGACAAGTAAGGCAGAAATTGCAAGTATCTGTGATTGCTCCCTATGGAATCTCGCTGCTTCCAGAAGACCTCAGCAGACCCTCCAAGCACCACAGCAGACTCTGCACTGAGGCAAAAGGGAGTTATGAATTTGCTCTCCCATAAGGGTTGTAACTGCAAATTTAAGCCTCTGCTGGCTGATCCCCAACTAAGAACATAAACACAGGCAGGGTACAAACACAATCCTGACACTTTGGGTGTTGTGAGCAGTGAGCTTCGTGAAAAAATGTTTGTGTGGATCAGAAAATACATCAGAACTATGGAGACAGACAAAGATTCATTAATCCTGGGAAATAAAGCAAAGACATCTCCAATAAGTTGGAAAATATGTCATTCTACTTTCTGGCTTTGCCTGCTGGCAACAGGAAAGATGTCCCACTTATCCAAAATATTGTATGTTGTGGCAGAAAAATCTCAGGGACCTCCATCACCTCATTTCAGATCCAGGATTTTTGTAGTCTTGAACAAGACCAGGATCAGTATCAGAAGCTGAGCTATGCAATAACTAATGCTGACTTTGCATTGTTTTGGATCTATCCAAGTGTCTTTCAAAAACTTCTAATTAAGTAGAAAATTGCAATGACTTAATTTGGGTCTAAAGAAACATTAACTCAATCTGGAGAGATTACTTCATTTCAATGTTTAAGTGTTTCAAAGAGGCAATTTTGAAACACAAACCCTATTGAATTGTTAGATTACAAGATCTACCTGTCTGGAATGATGTGTTTTTAATAGAAGAACAATTTTGCAAAAGTGCCATATATTTGTGAAACTATTATCATAACTAAATCTGATTTTTTTCTGAAAAAAATCCTATTTCCACTGAAATCTGTCAGAGGCTGGGAATATTTTTCAGGTTTTGGCAGTCACAAAGAGATTCTTGCCTGATTCCATTATTCCCTTTTCAATGAACTCTGCAAGTATAAAACAGTGCAGTCTCCACAGAAAACCAAGGCAGCAGAAGAATAATCAATCTATAATCAAAATCTTCCTTATCTTTGCAATGTTATTTGAACAGGTGTGTGCACTGAAACCTCCCCTCATTCCCACCTTCCATTCCCATTCTGGGTGTAAAACAAGATATTGCTGAAAATTTAGTTGGTTCAAAGCTTTTTCCTCTTGCAATTAAAAAAGCTCAACTTCCAAGCTGTGCCTTGACTTTCTGCCCTTTAAATATTCTGTGTTATATTCCTGGATGATTAATTAATAATACCTACTTGATAAAGCCCCAGTGCAGAGTGGAAATGATATTTCCACATCCCAACCACAAGCTGCTGGATTTCCTCTTCATTTGAGTTAAAGTCTTTTGCCACTTGATTTTATTTTAGGACAAGACTCTCAAGCAGGTCTGAGGTTTGAGTTTGGGGGATTTTCTTTGCAATACTCCCATATTTTAACTCTTCTTTTTCACCAGAGGACTGTGAACAACCTTCTCCTGTGTCCAACCACTTTTTCTTCATTTATAAATGTTGAAGATTTCTTACTTTGAAGCCCCTTTTGCAACTCCTAGCAAAGTGCCTGGTACTAGACGATAAAACTGGCAGACTCCAATCCCTTCCTCCCTGAAACTCCCCTGTGGATCAGACATCACAATGACAGTTCTGCAGTGCACACGCCTCTGTTTCTATGTCTGGTCCAGGTCCAGAAGTAGCGAAACAAAGGCAGCTGTTAACAGCTCCGACTGGCCGAGGGAAAACCCAGAGGATAAGAAATCTCTTGAGAAGACCCAGAGCCATGAGATTTGCAGTCAGATAGCCAGCCCAACTCTCAGTGACCTCTCAGAGAGAACTGAAAACGTCTGGCTGCTTGTCACAACTGAACATCCAACCCCATTGCTGAAGGAAACCCATCGTAAGAGATAGCCAAAGCAATATCAAAGGCACAAAATCCTTGAGATATAAGTAATGGAGTTGTTTTGGGAATAGCCTTTTCTGCACTGCACGCTCTGTACTGTTTCATAATTATATGCAGACACACCAGTTCCTGTTCTGCCCTAATCAGGATAACACAATCCTTACTGCCTTGAACACACAACCTCGGCATCCCCTTTTGCATGTCTCCTGATGGGCTAAAACTGAGCCAAAATGTCAAAATACTACAGGAGAGACCAAAGGGAGAATTGCCAATATTCAGACAGAGCAGTTCTTCCATCAATCACACTCTTACCTCTCTCTATATTACAGTCACAACCTCTACTCCCCAAAATGATTTTTTTCTAGTGAACACGAGCAAAGCTACCAAAATCTAGTTCCTAATCCCTCCAGACCAGTGATTCATAGTCTGTACTGTCTATAACCATTCCTAGCAGCATTTTAATCCATATCCAGTCCCTGGCAATCATAGGGCAGCTGGATTTGGGATCTAGAGGGAATCAATAGCATGGACAGCAGACCTGCATTCAGAGGACCCTCCAAAATCTGCTTTCAGCCATGAGTACAAATGCTCTGGGAACCTGACTTGTTTCAGCCATTCTAGGACCAGTTGGCTTTAATTTTTCTCGCTAATCAAAAATGAACCACTTGACCTTTTAATTTTTAGATTAAACAAAAGGTTCTATATTTTGGGGCCAGTGTGGAGGGAGTAGGGGAAATCTGCTTCACCCTCAGCTACTGCAGAATTGACCAGCACAGAAGTCAGGATTAAGGTTTAGCAGAAAACAGGGAACCTCAGCTAATAAGCAAGGCCAGAGTCCCCTCACTCCCTGAATGAGAGGGTTCACCAGAGGTTTCCATGGAGAATCTTTCTCCACAGTTCTTTTTCCTATTTCTCATGGTCCAGTGTTATTCTGCTTCAGATCAGCTGCTGTGTAAATTATCTTACTGAGATAATCTTAGATCATTGCCTGAGACAGCAAAGCAGATGGAATAATTTGATTTTTATGACAGACAATTGAAACCAGCCATGAGGATTTATCAAACTTAGAGGAACAGGTATTTCTCAGTCTTGCTAACTAACTAAGTGGGACATTCAGTTCCAGGACAACATGGAAATGTAAGCCATGCCCCTAGAAGTCACCTGAAGATGGAGATAGTGTGCCCAGGCACTGCCAAGCAGCCAGGCTGACCCCTCAGCAACCCTGGACAGACCTGTGACCCCTCTCAGCACCTCTCACCAAACAGCCCTTGCACCACCGAGGTGCCCCAGGACATGCACACCAACACCCAGTGGATCCATGGCCCACCCTTCCTCGGGGTGACCCCAGGGAAGTGCCAGCTGAAGGAATTCACCAACACCTCCACCAGACCCTGCTGCCAAGGGAAATTCAGCTGGACTTTTACCCTAACACCCTTCCTTTACGCAATTCTTATCTCTTTCTTCACAGGACCGCCTCATTAAAATCTCCTTGGCACAACCCAAGCTGGTCTTCCATCACTGGGGGCAGAAGGAGCTGAGTGTGGAGGCAATTTGTTCCTCGGAGCATGCATCATTCCTCCAGTCAGGGCGTGCATCTGGCCAGCCTGCCTTGGACTGCTTTACAGAGCCGTGGACGCTGTCCAGAGCGCTCTGCTCAGTGTCCCCGACAAGATGGCCATCAAAGACTGGGTTAGGGGTCAGGCACCCAAAGCCATTAGCACTCCAAAGTGATTGATTACCATCATGTGTGGTCTCAATCAAGAGCCGGTAATGAGCTGCATTCATTAATCCCATTTATATGTTTGCATAGTCCAGTCTTGAATTTCAGAGAATAAAAAGGCTTCATACTGCGATCGGCACATTGCACTACCTGGCAAGGAGAAGGAAGTCACAGAGGGCATAAAGGATTTGCAGATAATTCTGCATTTTGGGAATTTCAGCCCAGCTATTTCTAAATGCCAAGCAGAGTGGCTCCACAGCATGGCCTGCACACCTCCCAGCAGCACCAAGCCCCAAGCCTCCCTTCCCACCTCTGTGCTATAGTTTCATCTGTACTTATTTGATGTTTTCCTCGCACTTCTAAAATAACTCTCCATGACCACAGCTCTATCCAGTGTGACACCCACTCCAAGATTCTGTTCCTGTTTAGACCATTATGGGTTCTCTGCCACTTTGTGTTTGATAACCCCTTATTTTCTTCTTATCACCTCCATCAAAAACCTCATGTTCTGAATATGCCCCCGCCACCTTTGGCTGTCCTGTCTTGCTCAAGCCATGCCCCTGTGATAACCTTCAGCAGAGAGCCCCATCAGAAGTAACTTGACCCCGTGCCCTACCCTCACATCCCATTTCGAGTGGGCCAGGCTTCCACCCTGTGCTGAGCCCTACACATCAGCCCAGGTTCCTTTCGCTAGCATTAAAGCGATGTTTTCCTGCTTCCCCTCCCCAGAGATTCCCTAAAGGAATTATGAAACTAAAGGGTGAAATTCTGTCTCAGTTGAAGCCAATTTGAATTAAAATAGTAAGTTGTCCCTGGCTTTAACATGCCTGGTACTGACCCCAGCACTCGAAGCTCCAGTGCCAGGCTCTGTGCTTCACACAGAATGATGAGGGGGTTTTCAGCTTCACCACTTCTGAAAATACTCTAGAATGTCAGTGAGTACACCTTCACTGCATTGAACTCTGTCAGAAGACTTTCAGATTGATAAACTCACTGAGCAGAACAGCACGAACATGCCAGAACACAAATCCATTCCAAAATACATTAAATTTGAACCAGCTCACCTGTAAGTAGAAACCCTTTATTCTAAAAGATGCTGGAAACTGCACTCACCTTAGATAGCTCAAGGAAGCAGCTAATTGCATGCTTGGATGTCCAGATGCTGTCACCACTTTTCCCAGCATAAATTCAGTACTCAATGTAAAAAATAGAAATTTTCTTCTTTCAAAAATTAAAAGGGGTTTGTTGGGGTTTTTTCAGAAGGGTATTACTTGGTTAAAAACAGATTTGAATAACAAATGCCTCTAAATGTTCCCAGGCCCCTTTTTTGTAGAAATGCTTTTAGCATTTCATGTGGGGAAAAAAACATGCACCAGTCTGAGGTAATGATATTTATCCACTCTAATGCAAAGGAACAGTAAATATGTTAAAGGTAACCAGCTCATAAATGTTTAAGCAATTCAAAAACTTTACAGTTATGCACAGAAACCTAAAATAATCAAGGTAAAGGTGACACTGACTACACCTTTATTTTTCTTTTGCAACCCCCTGAAGGCCAATGCACAGGCTCACCTTCCATGTGATGCCACACATTGCTGGTGCTCTCTGATGCAATGCCCTGCTAAAAAGAATCTGGTGGGGTAGGTAAATTCCATGGCCAGCACTTAATATCTTTATATCACACCCATAATCCACAACAAGGAATTCTTTATTTCTTCAAAGGAAAGACCACCTCTGCTAACACTCCTTGACTGGCAGCAGAAAGCCAGGAGATGCCTGGATCATGCCTGAGGGATGCCAGGATGAAAAAGCACTCAGAGGACCCTGCAAAGCACTGTCCTGGTGGTAGAAGGAGCAAAATGAGTCCTGGAAATGCTCCTTCCAATGATCCCTAGAAAGAAAGGACCAGGCAGAGAAGTATCATCCCCAGAGACTCTCATAGGACAGGAAAGAAACAGAAAGATACAGAGTTGTGGAATAAAACTACTGATTTTCAATAAAATGAGAGAGCAGGAAACAGTTTGTGTTTGCTCCATAGGGAGACAATGCCAAAGTACACAGAACTGGTCTCCTGAGGACTTTTTTCACTGGGATTCAGTGACTGAGGAAGTGTCTCAGCACAAGGTTTTACAGACCAAGCTACCTACTTCTATGGATACACAGAGATAATTGATCATTCTTTAGGTAAAAACCCAACAGGAGACCAGCAGGTGTCAATGCTGATGAGCAGCTGTTGCCTCCAAAGCCATGTTCTGAATGAGAGAGGAAAACCGGGAGCTGAGCTCAGCCTTGGTGTTCATGAGAGGCCAAATGGGGTGAGGAGTGAGCACTGCAGTCCCAGGTGTGCACCAGGCCACCCCTGCCTCTGTGACTTCAGGCAAACTGTCTTCTCTTCCCTCCTGCTTCTCCTGGCTTAAACTGCACAAACCAGCAGCAGCAGCAGCCTTCCTCTCTGGCCACAGCCCTCTAAGCTCAGTTTTAGAGGAAAACTGGCAAAACAGTGCTGGAGCTGTGCTGACATTGCTGAAAGAGGACTTTGCCTTTGTCTTCTCTGACCATTTCAGTTTCATGCATGAGTTTAACAGGTACATCAGAGTATACAAATAAGCCAGTGTTTCTAAGCATAAATCCTTATTTTATCAACTCAGAGGGACTAAAGGAATTGTGCCCTTCCCCTCAACTCACAAGGAGCTGCTGCTGTGTGCTAATATAAATATGTAGCACATCCCATGACTCCTGAGCTGGGCACCTTCTGTCTGCTGGTGACCTTCCCTTGCTTGGGAAAGGATCTGAAAAGCCTCAGGTTACAGCTTTATACAGATTAGAATAAAATTTACTCTGGCTTTTAACATTTAAGAGCTGTAATGGCTTGGTGTTTCATTTATTGGCAAGTGAGCAAAGAGAAGGACAAGAATTCATAGACAGTCCTCCTTCAGAAACAGGCAAAAGAAAATGTTTCTAAAACCCCATACAGCCAAAAGGTCTTAACAGCAGCACTACAGCAGTTTAATGGGTGAATCCAGATAAGAATTCACACCCACTGGTTCATATCTGGAAAAATATCTATCACATGTACAGCCTAAGTACAATCCTGAAACACTCACATGGAGAGGCTGCACAAGCACTTTTTCACTCCTTCTCTGAGTTTGGGGTTCATACAGCTGGTTTAAGTTTTCAAGACTCTCAGCTAGCACTTCCAGCAATGGAGAAGCTCAGTCATACGGCATTTAGGGGTCATGGGGAAGCTTCAGCAAAGGAACTAATTCAGGACAGGAAGGTCCAGATCTCCTGTCCGGTTATTTTCCTCTCATCTTGCTCAGCTCCCCACAACTTGCTCCTCAGCAATCATTCAATAGTTTGGCAGTGGAAAGAGAGACATCAGCTCAGAAACTCAAAGAAAGTTCAGCAGAGAACAGTTTCCCTGCCTCCCTAAACCCGCCAGTCTGCAGTTGGAGGGAAACCTAATTAATCACAGAGGTGACTGAAAGGAAGTCTCTTTATTGTTTCCAACTAATTTGGGTGGGTGTACGCTAAAACTTGAATGCTAATCAGCAAGTATCTTCCTGAAAGAAATCATTCAGTTGTCATCCTTTGCTGTGCTGTGGTTCCCATCACAAAGCAGGCTCAGGGCACAGGACCTGAACTCTCTCCCACAAAACCAAGCTGAAAGATGTGCTCCAGCTGGGTGCACAGCACACCCACGGTGAAACCCTGTGTCCCAAGGGTGCTACAACTTCAATACAACACAGTCAAAAGGGCAAGAGCCTCCTCCTGATGGAAATGTACACAGTGATTTTTATAAGCCAAAATCCTGATGTTCTATTTGATGCCTCATCCGTGGAAGTGTTCAAGGCCAGGTTGGATGGAGCTCTGAGCAGCCTGGTCTGCTTGGAGGTGTCCCTGTCCACAACAGGGCAGGTGGAACTGGGTGATCTTTAAAGTCCCTTCCAACCCAAACCACTCTGATTCCATCATTTAGGTTTCTCTTCTTTAAGAGTCCTTGTAGTCCTTGCTCTAAGACAATCAGTGCAAATTTAAATTCTGCAAAGCTGAGGAGGTGGAAATCTATAAATATCATTATTTTTATACACATTCAGCTATCTCATCTTCTGAAAAAAAATAGTCAGGAATGTTCCATTTCTGAAAGCTCAGAGACACAAGAAAATGCAACATAGATGAAGGTCCTGAGTTGCAGTTCTTATAAAGAGATTCCTACAACTTTTGTGGCTGTTCATCAGGGTTCAAAAAATTCCAGCTGGACGCAGGTGGAAATGAGTCTTATTTCATTACAGAATTCACAGACTCTATAAAGTTTATAATGTTGCAATTAAAAACTAGAAAGAAAAATATTTTGGCTAATAATAAAATGATACAAAAGGGCCAGGCTCCCTAGTTAAACACTGATCTTCCAAGTTCTGACTAAAAGATGCTGGAAATCAATGACATACAGAAATTCTTGATAGAGACTTGAAATTTTGAAGCAATTTTCATCCCATAATGGAATTAATTTTTGTTTTAAATATTCCCAAAACAACATTTCCTATAAAAGTTAAATGTTTATATAAAATATGTTGTGTCTTTAAAAACATGGAAGGATGTTACTTTTTTGTCCTTTCTTATTGTTCAAAATCATGTCTTATCACTGATGCTGACTGGATCTTTTCCAGATTTCTTTTTCAGCTTTTTCTTACTTTGTTTGGGTTTTTTTTGCTGTCTTTTTTTAACGTTTTCCAGACTTTCTTTCATCCTTTGCAACTTTTTAGAACCCTTGTTCTATTGCATCCAGGATCAATAAAGGATAAAGAGGTAAACCAAAAATATCAAAACTCCAAAAGATTAGCATCTCTATTTTTAATGAAAAAGCAAGAAAAGTGATGTTTATGATTTAGTAAGAAACTTGTCTTTCATTGGATTAATGTCTTTCATTAGACTAGAAACATTTTCAGTGGGAGATGTGAACAAGATATAGTTCCACCATTTAAATTTATCTAACTTTAATTTAAATTTATCTAACTTTAATTTAAATTTATCTAACTTTAAATTTATCTAACTTTAATTTATCCAACTTTATTGAACTAGTTTTGTCTAGCTTTAGTCAATATAATATATGAGAAGAAAATAGTTTGTACAAGA